GTCCGAAATTGCGAGAGAGACCAAATGAACGTGGAGGAGCTTCGACGAGACTTGAGGAGCGCGCGCGGTAACACCGACAGCGATGAACCCGGCAGCGATGAAAACCGTGCACAGTAGGGATGAGGCAAACAAAAAAAGATAGCCGGTGTGCGAGAGTAAGAGTGAAATAGAGTGGCCAATGCAAAAGGCAAACGTGATAAAGGTTGAATGAAAGAGTAGCTTTTTTGAAAGCACTCGTTTATATAAAAAGACTATTGAAAGGGATAATTGTTCAGGTAATGAAGGTAAGAGTGGAGAGCGAAAACCCTAGCGCGGAAGGAAGGGCAAGTCGATCGTAGCGGAAGCTATTTAAGCCCAAAAGACCCGAAATGCAAAAAGGCCGAATTGGTTTGCGAGGGGGGGGATACCCGTAACTCTGCTTTTTGTCGTCTTTGATCAAAACAAGACACACTAGTAGAATTTCAATATGATGGGCCGGGAGGGGGAAATCGCAGCCATTTGGTGCTGTTGAGCGTTCGAGGGGGGATAAAGGCAATAAGCTATTTGGAACCGCGTGCGCGCGTGTGTCCCTGCACGCTCTCCGAATGGAAGAAGGGGGATGGTTAAAGGAAGGAGAGGAGGCCGTCCGCCAAAAGGGTTTGTTGTAGCGTTCAAAAAGGCCAAAAAGAAGGGCAAGTAGATGATGGAATGAAAGGGCAGGAAGGGGGTTCGCACAATGGATTTGACAAGTCCCCAAAAAGCTTCCGTCCGTTTGTCCGACTAATGTGCCCCAAAAAGCGTTTTTCATTCATATCATTTTCATGAATTGGCAAAATGGGGACATTTGCATCGAGTTTATCGACTTTATCATGATCAAAAGGCTAAACACCAAGCGAACCGTGCGATCACAGCCCAAAACGCGGGCTATAAAACAATATGGACTAAAAAATCTGGAATTTGGGAAAACTGCTTTCTAAAGGTGGGATATAGTAATTGACTTTGCGTTCTGTTTTACAATACTCGGGGGAGGTACGAACGTTAAAGGACAACCTATATGCGTCATGACGACGACTTTATGTGCTGCCAATAGACTCTGAAAAAGGTAGAGTAGGCGAGTTTGTGGTGCGTGGAGAGCGCACTTTATGACCCAATCAATCAATCACACACACACAAAACTCTTTTTGCGCCTTGGTCGCTCCCCCCCCGTCGGAACAAGAAAGAGCTCTGCTTATCTGTCCAACCTTTCAAAAGGGGGTGGTGGTTGGCGACGACAAAAGAACAAACGGGGGGGGGAGACAATTTACAGAAACTTGAGTCCCTGGAGGGACGGACGCAACTTGTTCCTCCCTGCTTTTTGCTTGCCCCCCTCCATCCATCCATCAAAATGCCAAATGAAGGACAATACGCAAATTAAAATCAATCAGTTGGATAAGGAAAGTCAACGGCATTTGCGCTTTTAGAACACCTTTTTGTCCGAACGGCATTTGCACGTGTGGGGCGCAGTTATCTGATGAGGTAATAAACGGCTGTGTTGAATGAGCGCTCGTATCCCAGTTGAACAATTCGCTACACGATGCACGGCATCTTGAGCATCACAGCGTGGCTCTTGCTGTCATGTCTTTGGGAAAATGTCGTCTCTGCACATGCCCCAACGCAATGGCCTCTCCAAGAGACTTTCGCGATACCCCCAAAAGAGATTGCAGTCATTGGTACTTTTGACACATGATGATCTAGTATGCTTATTTGGTATAGTGACAAGTGTGACTGTTTCTGCAGGAGGAGGAGCCGCAGGAACAAGCTTTGCCTATTTCTTGAGTCAGTCAGAGCTACGAGACAATGTCTCTATTACGCTGTTTGAGGCCACAGGCCGGTTGGGCGGACGCGCCCTGTCCACCAGCGTGAACGGCACCAAGATTGAATTGGGTGCTTCCATATTCCTGGTACTAGCTTAATCTTTTTGACATTGACGACGACGACATGTCACTTGGCTCATGCATACTCCCACGCCGCTACAGACAGAGAACCAAAATCTGTATAATGCCACACAGACATTTAATCTTTCAGTGTCAATGCGGCCTGCCAAATCCGCTTCCCGTCCCCCTTGGGCACTTTGGAACGGCGATTCCTTTTCATTCACAGCATCTACAAGCCCTAGCAAAACTATTGTTGATATGCTGTGGCGGTACGGGCTCGCTCCTTTGACAGTTCGGAGACTGGCGCGAGACGCAGCCAACATTTTTGCTCAAGGAGCATACGATAGCAGCACAGCGCCTTTGTTTACGACAGTGGATGAATTGGTGGATATCCTTGGGCTGAAGGAATACGTTGACGTTGATGCCCGACAATGGTTTGTCGACCGCAAGGGCATTGGAGAAAAGTACATACAAGAAATTGTGCAAGCGGCAACTAGAGTCAACTACGCGCAAAATCTTGATTTGAACGCCATAGCTGCGCTAGTCTGCATGGCCGCAGCAAGCGGACAAGCAATATCGGTGGCAGAAGGCAATGAACGCATCTTCCAACACTATGCCAAGGCATCAGAGGCACAGATTCATCTGGACACTGCAATTACCTCCATTGAAAGGCTGTCTGCGCAAGAAAAGTATGCTGTAACAAGCAAGGATGGCTCAACAGCCCTCTTTGATGCTGTCGTCCTTGCTGTTCCGTGGAGTAGTGTAGGTGAAATCGCTTCTGTAAAAGCCTCTGATCAGCAAACTCATTTTTGACATTTACAGCCAAATCCACCGTTAAATCTCGTCAACCTCCGCACTCAGCCATTTGTCATCCCCTACATTCATCTTCACGTCACAATCGTAACTGGAACTCTGCGTCCATCGTACTTTAACCTCGCATCCGGATCCCCCGTCCCGGACACGGTCTTCACCGCTCCTAACCCGTCCATTCCATTCTATTCCATCTCCATCCTCTCAGAATTGCGAAACTCCTCTGACAGTATCATCAAAATCTTTTCACCAAGCAAAATGGAGGATTCTTTGCTGACTGCATTGTTTGAGAGCATACAGGGCGATGTCATCCGAAAAGAGTGGGATTCCTATCCGGTGCTGACACCAAAGGAACGCACAGGCATGCCGGTAGAGTTGGATGATGGAGCGTGGTTTGTAAATGGATTTGAGTCAGTGTTTTCAACCATGGAGAGCGAGGTTGTGGTTGCAAGAAAGGTGGTGGGCCTGGTCGAAGACTGGATTAAGAAGCGACAACCTTGATATTGTACGCCGATGACAGGCCGATTTGACATTTTCTTCTAGTATCTCCGCGCGTATGTAGACATACTCATGTTTACATATTGATGGGTCCATCTGCCTTGGTGGATATCTACATTATACAAAGTGAGCCTTGTTGTCACATTTATTGTTATGGATTGTCTGTATGCATCAGTTTGTGTCTTTTTTGGCTGTGCTTCTCATATTAACGTCCCAATCCCCTTTCCGTCAAACTTGGGAAATGGATGTGCTTCCGTATTGAGCACATACTTGTCCAGTGGGACTCCTCTTGGACCTTGCTCATCCGAAAACAACAAGTAGAAATACTTTAGCGTCTCTCCAAGGAAAAATGTCTCCATCTTGTCTCGTGGGGGTGGTGGCGTTTTACGAACATCGTTCTGTTCGAAACAATGACAAAATTAGTACTTTCACGGGATATCATAAAAAGGGTTACCAGAGGACCCACCAGACTAGTATAACCACCGTCGACTTTGGCCCACTTTTCAAACCTCTCAAACATTGTCCATCCCCATTCTCTCCAAATCTCATTCCCCGTAACTCTCCAGAGCACAAAAAAACTTTCAATGGTCTCTGGTCTCAGCAAGTTGTGCGCGTCCATTGCATGGATTTCAAAATCGATTTCAATGCCCTTTTTAATGAGTGGTCGAATCGTAGCGGCATGAATAGGGAGAGTGGCGACGGGAATGTCGGTGAGAAGTGAGCCATTTATGTAGCGATCGACATGAGTCGGTGGTCGACTACCCGTGGCGCCGCTTTGATGTTTAAGAAGTTCCGTCTCTGCAAGTGTCGGCTGCTTGGTTGGATCATCCGCTCTCCAATACACAATCTCAGGACTCAACCCTGTGGCCGTCTGTCGATACATTTCCCAGCAACTTGTTCCCAACTCTTCAGCGAGCTCCAGATCCAATCGATCCACTTCATTCATTTGGAACCGTTCTGCCATCGTTGTAACGCGCTGACCACGGGTAGCGAGAAGAGCTAGCGTACCGGGAAGGAAACAAACAAGATGATCCATCTTTGGATGAAGGCGCTGCGGTGTTTCCGACACGCCCTGAGGGAGTTCGCCAACAAAGAACAATTGATTAGGGGCTGTGAGTCCTAGAAGGTGTTTCCTTATCCCAATCACTGCCTTGCGATATTCAGTAAGATAAAACTCTTCATTGGTCAATAGGTACTGTTTTGCGAGATACTCTATGCACAATAAAGGCATCAGCCAGATGATGAAGTAAGTGATCGTGGTCATTAGCATTGTTAACACACCATAGTAGCTGTCTCCTCTGCTGCCGAGTCTAATCTCCCGCCCCTTCCAGCCTTTACTGTCCGTATCCACATAAATAGGAACCAAACCATCCGTCTTTTCCAATGACCCCAAAACCCGTCCGACCTCCTGTACTGCGTTCCAGTACTTTTTGTCCCCTGTCAAGTAACTCAGATATTTGAACTCCATTGCTAGCGTTCCCACCTCCGCCGTACTTCCCGGTCCTATGCCTGAATTCGCTGCCCGCGCTTTGCGAGTAGCAAAATTGATGGACTCGAGCGGAAGACCTGTAGGCGTATCAAATGCCACAAGCAAGATATCTCCCAACTCTTTAGCCCGATCAAGGAGAGAAGAATGACGTCCCCCTGAGAGATGGTAAGCAGATAATAGGCCGCCGAGCACTCGAATCGTCAACTCAAAAACGTTCGAGTCCGTGTTATGGCTAAACTTTAGATCCTTCGTCACCCATGATAAGGCTTTATCGAATATGTCTTCCTGACCCATAATGTACGCCGTGTCCAATGCATCCACAATGGTCATACCGACATTCATCCATGTAGAGGGAGCGCGAGTAATGGGTCGAAGCTCGTCGAACCCCCACGCGTGTTTCTCGTAGCCGTTCCATGCATGCCGGAATGCAGCAGTAACCGCCTCAGCGCGAGAGGTCCAGACTGTCACATTGGACGTGGGGAGAGGGCCTTGAAGTGGTCCGATGGCTTCCGTTGTATCTGTCGTATTTTTGATGCCTTCCTTGACAATATTGGATTTGCCACCCCAGTAGCTCCATACGAGTAGCATTAGAGCGCAAGCGCCAAACACCCATAGCGTCCATCGCCGTCTGGACCCTCTCCCTGCCGTTTTGTTATACTTTAACTGTGCAGCATCCGGGTCGTCTTCACCTTGACCTCCCCAACGTATCGAGATTACGTGCGGTCTATCTGGTCGTCCACCCCGAAATGGCACGTCCTTGTCACTATACCCTGTAAGCAAAGCACCTTCATCTCGCTGTCGCCGAGGACGAATGGGATCAGCATAGAGTGGGTCGTTAGACATGGGTAAGCGGCTACTAAGATGTGGTCAATGCTGGATCGCGAACCCACTTTGTGGATTTGCAATGTGGCGCAGGCGATCACTGTAAGCAACATTTGGCAATGATCTTCAATGTAATTTTAATATATTTTGAGCACGGGAACATCTCCGCCAGGTATGGAGACTGATCTCCGTAAAAAGAAAGACCACCATGTACAATGCACCGACAACTCCCTTTCCAAGATCCCTCCGTAGTCCACCAACCAGAAGTTAAGCCAAGGTAAATGCTTATTCCTGGCCGTAAATGGGGAACTCGAAGTCGACCTCCTTTCCGGTCAACCTTTTGTAGGCGGAAGAGAAGGTGTCGAGCTTGTACTCGAGAGCGGTGTGGTCCTTGCGGTCCAAGAACCTAATCAAGTAAACAGGTTATGATTACGTGGTGCTTGATAACTTTGATCAAGTTCATGACTACACTACTTACACCTTGATCAACTTGCTGCCATCAACGCGCACCTTGGTCCGCTTGCCGACAATCTCAGTGGGGTAGACAAGGTCCTCCAAGAGCTTCTCGTGCACAGAAGTGAGGGTACGGGAACGGGGGCGGGGCTGGTGGACACGTGCCCTACGGGTGGGCTTGCGAAGGATACGACGCTGCGCAACAAGGAGAACGTGGCGGTCGGAGAACTTCTTCTCAAGCTCCCGTACAAGACGGGACTGGACCTTGTGGTATTGCTTCAACAAGGGAACGGGGACGAAGATGATGATGGCCTTCTTTCCGTGGCTAACATCGACCTAACGAAAGAGATTAGGTTCCTTTCAAACACGAAAATACAATTTCTCTGCGACTGAACTGATACGCACCTCCTTGGCGCTGACAAATTGCAGACCCCTCAAGTCCTCCTTGAGCTCAGCAACGTTCTGCTCGAGCTCGTAGATGTTCTGGGCAACCTGGAGCTCAAGCTCATCAGGCTCTTGACCAGCCGGCTTTGCAATCTTGGACCTGGCGGACATGGTGCTAGTTCTATAATGCAAATAATTGTCAGCAATGTTCTCGACAAGTTTGACATCCACCATCAATCCGTCGCGCCGTTTCTAATAGGTTCCTCTCGTGTGCCGTCCGTCAAGGTGCCATAGTGCCATGTCTAAAGGACACATCTCCAGCGTTCTACCATATCTATCGTAACTCTGTCGACAATGGTTTCATGCACGGCTCCACAATCGTTGATCTACCATCGAAAACGTCCAGATAATCGTCGTCGGGTTAACTATCGCAGAATCCACCATATGCACACTCTCTCTCCACTTGTTCTTCCAATCCAAGCCTCAATTTATCCTCCTCGCATTCCCCATGGTGTCGCACCACCTAATCCCCGCTAACAGCCCTGTTCATCGTCCAGGATAATCGCACGAAAGCCGGACAGCACACGAAAAGAACCTCGGACCACAATCTGCGCGCGCGGATGGACAGATGGATGGATGGATGGATGCCTTTCCCAGTTGCAGTACTTACCAAGACGCCGATTTCGAGGAAGAGGAAGCAAAACCCACTCGCCATCTTGCTGTCAGTAAATTTCGGAGCGTCTTGTCACGTGACAGCACAATTATCAGGTCACATGACTACTTGGAGGGGGGCACAGCCGTCGAGATGCCAAAGCAAGCGGAGTTGACTGGGGCATGTAGGAAATGAAGATTGAATTGCGTACGGCTCCGGCATGCTACCTTGCTTTGCCAAAATGACTATCCAAGCAGAATGGTCTGCAACGAATTCAGCAGGTGGCACAGCGTTGGGAACTGCCCGCCGTTTTGGCAACATTGGTCTTTTCAAACAACGTACTTACGAAGAGCAAAGAGCTACCAGGCAGAAACTGCCACAACCTGCCAGAGAAGCTTCGCCGAAAGAGCCGTCAGACCGCAAGCGAGCATCAAGCTTTTTGCTCTCGCTCAGTCGCTCTAGCCTGACTTCCAACCGTGAACTGGCACCCCACAACCGGACCCGTGCGTCGAGCGCAAGCAGAGACTCTCGCTCCAGTTTATCTGGATCTCCTGTTTGGAGGTCCGGCTCCGTCAGCTCTTCACAAAATTCTTTAAGACGAAGACATTCAGAGAACGATCGAACCAAGTCTTCGCCGTATAACTCAAGCATACGCTTCGTTGGTACGACCGGTTCACGCGACTCGGTCGCATCGCAGAGGTCGTCAGATATTGCCCTCGAACAAAGCAGACATAATCCTCCCAGAGTCGCGGATGATAAAGATTCGGCCTTGAAACGAAGGATAAAAGAGGTGGAAGAGGCGTATGGGAAATTGAAACGGTCTAACCCGCAACTTAATGAAGCGGGTATCCGAAAGTCCGCTGAAAAGGTTGCGGGTTCTGAAGCGTCGGTGGCGAAACAAAATTACGTTGTTTCTTCAACTATACCAGCAAAATCCCGCGGGAACCTAAAGCAGAGCATTATAGATCGGCTTACCCCCAGGTCTCGCACCCCGGAGCGGTCAACTTCCAACACAGACACGTCCAGTGCGTCTTATCCGTTTAAGTCGGCCACACTACCACCGCCAATAAAAGGCCTTTACGACGATAGCCACAGTCATCCCGACACAAATCGCACACACCCCGGCGACATTCTGCCAACACCGCCAACAAGCAGTCCTCCAGCTCGCAAAGAACAGGAGATTGCATATCACTACCATCATCCCCGACGCTTCCGCCACTCACAAGATATTATTGAAAAGAGTCTATCGAAAGCCCAATTGCGAAACGCCACCTTGAAGGATTTGAATAATAGACGGGAGGGCAGGTTTCGGCGTGCGAACTCTGAGGGCTACGATTTTGAAGCGCGAAGCCAGATGCCTGGATTGAGGGCAGACCAAAGGCCAAGAGCAAACTCCTTTCATGTGTCTCGGTCACATGTCGATCAACCGCATGTCCTACCCAGCAATCCGGAAATCTTGAAGCTATTGTCGATGGACGCAAATTCCAGAAGACGGGCTTTACAGGTATAGCGACACGTCGAATTGTAGATAACAGAAAATTCTAATTATCTGGCATGTAAAGTACACTGTAAAGCGACAACGCCCTCCACGAGGACTTGTAGGGCTCCAGAATTTGGGCAATACTGTAAGTACAGCCGTCTCATGCTGGAGGGATCGCTCAAATTGCTAAGACATTCCGCCATCTGCAGTGTTTCATGAACTCAATATTGCAATGTGCTTTTTCGACGGAATTGCTGATGGGCTACTTTTTATCCGGGGATTACAAGGGTGATATCAACCCTGGAAGTCCGATGAAAGGCCAATTAGCTACAGGCAAGTGATTGTTCCATACTCTACTGTGTTCATTCACCATGATCCAATTTGGTAACACGATGTTTTACCTACTCTCGGATGTAGCATTCGCCGCACTAGTCAAGGAGGTCATGAAGTCTAACGCATATAGATCAATCTCGCCGTCACAATTCAAGAGACAATTAGAACACTGGGCACCGCAATTTGTTGGCTACGAGTAAGTATGGATACCACTCCCGATCATGCAAAATTTTGTGAGTGGTCTATGGTTGAGCATATTTTATAAAAGCTGCTCCCAGAGTGACCCAACGTATCTCTTTTCTACCCTTTCTTTTTTTTGTGATACATCAGCCAGCAGGATGCCCAAGGTAAAGCCTACGTTCTTGTTGACTCGTTGTACCGGATTAGCTGAGTCTACTACCCGTGGACAGAGTTCTTGCGTTTCATGCTGGACGGATTACATGAAGACTTAAATCGGGTACAAGTGAGACCTCGTTTTACGTACAAAGATGAGGAGGCAGATAAGTTAAGGTAGCTCTTACATCTGAGCGCCGCAGACAAACAATCAGACGTAATGCGCTGACGCCTCGACAGGGATGTTGAAAAGGCGCGACTGTCATGGAATCGATACCATGCAGTGAATAACAGCGTCATTTTCGGTATGCATACATGATTAATTCCGTGCTATTGTGACAATTATTAACGTCATTCGCATTTAGATTTGTTTGGTGGTCAACTGCAGAGTACGGTCATATGCCATGGCTGCAATCACCGTTCTGTGACGTTTGACACTTTCTGGGACCTTTCGCTACCCATTCCGAAGGTTGGTAATAACCATTTTCGCAGCATCAAGAGGTACTTGACTGAGAGTCAGTTACTGTTGGTAGGCATATGCACGTCGATCCGCGCGTTATTCCCTGACACCATCTGGTGAAAGCTGCTCTCTGTCCGAATGTCTCGCCGAATTTGCAATGAAGGAGGTATTAGAAGAGCCTTACAAGTGCGATAATTGCAAAAGTCATCAAAAAGCGAGCAAGTCTCTGAGACTCTACCGATGTCCTGAAGTATTGGTTTTACGTTAGTTGAAACGATTTCCGTATTTTGTCCGCCATCATTTTCTGATATTTGTCTCAGATTTGAAGCGCTTTACGTACTCTTACTACTCCCGGGATAAGATAGAGGCGAATGTCAAGTTTCCCGCGGAAGGGCTGGTATTGGATGAGATTATGAGCGATTTAGAAGGTGAGCCACCATGGCCGATATCTGCATGCCCCGACCATCGTCCAACGCGTTTTGCCATAGGGCGTGACCTTGAAGTCCGCTATGATCTTTTCGGCATATCCAATCACATGGGTGGTCTTGGGGGCGGACATTACATTGCCCACGTCCGTAATATCGATGATGAAGTCTGGTACGAAAAAAACGACACACATGTTTCGCTTTGTACGGACGGGCCCGAAGCTGGGATGGGACCATCAGCATATGTATTGTTCTATCAGCGTCGACGGTGACTTGTTTGTCAGCCACCTGCTGGTAGCGCTCTAATGCAATGAGGACAATTGCGATCAACGTCACTTTGTAAATATATCTCATGTAGCGTTTAATGATATTGTGACCGTTGATGCGATGTTCTACTCTAAATGAGGTGTGAAGATTGCGTCATTTGAGCAATAGACCAAAACTTTCGTCTACTTCTGTTCCGCCGGTGTGGGCCCTCCCATTTCTACTGGCAAATGGTCTATACTATCCAAAACAATTGGCACAAATCTTACGTGCGCTGGGTGCTGCACAAGCGTTCGTGGGACTCTGTCCGGTACATTACTGCCTGCTGCAGACCGGCACAGTGCGCCAGCAGCCTCAGCCTCCTCCCGACCAACCGCAATATTGTCATCCAAACTCGTGGGCCTCGTTGTTCCCATTGCTTTAGCCACTTGCTCATCCATGGATCCATTTACCAACTTGTCAAATGCAGTCAAATTTGTTGGATCCATTTCGATGATTGCATCAATGACATTGATGCATGTGTTGTGATGAGTAAAGGCGCTCATGTGCTCCAATGAACGGTAAAGGATGGATGAGAGGATAATGCGGAGAAGACGACCGTGTACTACACAAATTCATCGTGATTCCTACAGCGACAGGGAAAGGGGAAGAGCTCAACGATCCACTTACTGACGATAGCAAGCCGTTCTTCCGGTCTTTTCAGTATATCATACAGTGCAGGTACCGATCGCTGTTCGACGTCCAATGGGCTTTCGCCGTTGGGAGCTTTGGCTTCAAAGTCTCCCTCCAGCCAGCTTTCCAAGAGATTACGGAGTTCAGGACTTTGTTGGCCTTCCCAATCCCCCCATGAAATTTCCGCCAACTCTTCGACTTCTACAAAGGGAAGATCTGCATGCTTCTGGTGGACAATTTGGGCCGTTTGCCTTGCTCGCTGCCATATAAAGCATAAGCAAACTGGCAGAGCTCATTCAACGGTCCCCCACTTTGGCCACCGTCATCGAAAGCGTCCACTGGACCACCTTCAATTGCATAGTCACACAACGTGCTATTATGTTTACCTTTAGTTTGCTGCTCATGACGATATCGATATCTATGCTAGACATTCTGTCTCGCAGACATTCTGCTTGCCGGACTCCCTGCAACATAGCGAAATCAAATGATTAGGAACAAAGTTTCCCAATACGCTGAGTGTATAAAAGGCTTCCAATGCGGCACCTTTGCCAAATATGTAACATACAGCTGGGTTCAAATACTCGTCAATACCAGATCCTTGCAACACACCGAGAGCATTTGGCGCTGTTTCTCCATGGCGACATAAGAAAAGTCGTTTGACAATGCTGGTTGAGGTTGGTGGCTTTGTTAGCGGAGGAAAAGGAGGGAAATTGGTCTGAGAGACTGAGGAAGCCATCGTAATGGTGAATGGAATTTAAGAAGAAAACCAGCTGCCCAGCCCAGTAAGAAAATCCAAGTTTCGAACGCGTTTTTGAACGAGATCAAAAAATGGTTCAAGCATCGCCTAGCTTGTTGTCCATCCCCATTGGGCCAGTTGCAGAGCCTTTTTCACTTTCTCTGTATCCAATGCGACGTACTCGGAGCAAAGGTCGCATGCTGCCCAATCATCTCGTAAAAACACAGGATCCTCCTGTTACTGCCCTCAAATCATCTTCAAAAGGTCCTTCAATGAAAAGGAAGGCTGACATTTGGAAAAGTCCTCGGCCATCATTCCTCACTTGAGGAGAACACAGCATTTCAAAATGACCACCGGCAGACCTCTCCTCTGCAGCCACTGCCGTTTACCACAGATATCGTCGACATTTGCTGGCTCAAAGTAGCATCCAAGGATCTCTGCAGTTTTCGAATACGCTTAAATAATATATTCCATCCTTTGAGGGACGACCCTCATCATTACAGAACAGTTCAGCACGTTGATGAAAGGTTATATCGGGTGATGCAGCATCGATGTCATCTCAGTACAATTGTACTGGCCCTTATTCCCCCCCTGCGCGGTGTTTGTCTTACGACCCGACAGGCAACAGGTGATGTCCTTTGCGCTTACTAACGACGCGTTCAAAAAGGTCTTGCTATAAAGCCGGTCTTCCGCCCTCTGCACTTGGCGAGTGACACTTTTCCAAACCAATACGCTTACTATTTTGAAAGTGCTTCTTGGTGTTTGCCAAATATTTTGGGTTTAATGGCTCCTCCGCATAGCACGAACGATCCGCGTGAAAATGACCCGCTACTCGAAGATGACACACCCAGTACCGCGGTCGCGGTGGACATTGACGACTCGCCGACCTGCGGAGAAGGGAGCACCAATAAGCAGATTGATGTAAAAGTGGACAAGGAGGTTAAGCTCGAGTTTGGTGGAGCGACTGGCGTTACTTTCATGATGATCTTCTTCCCAACAATCATGTACTACTTTTGGCTGTGCCTCGAATTCAACAATGGTGCACTGGCACACCCTGACTCAATTAGTGACACTGGAGCATGGTTGGGACGAATGTGGAAGCTCCTGCGCGATCATGCTACGCCAAATCTTTTCGCTGTGTCAACCTACGTTTTGTTCTGCGCTCTACAAGCCTTCCTGGCGTATACCATGCCCGGTCCTGTTGTGAAAGGACTGCCAGTTCCTAGCTTAGGATTCAAGCAGTTGGAGTACCTTTGTAATGGGGTTGCCAGTTGGTATGTCACCCTTATTACAAGGTAAGCCATGCAGCTGGAAAAGTGCGATCTACATGAATGCAAACGTTAAACACGTTTTGACCCTGAAGCGCGATTCTTCATTTGACTGGAATCTTTCCTTTGTCACGAATCATCGATAACTTTGGTCCCATCATGACTGTGTCTATTATCGCTGGCTTCGCTGTGACGATTGGCACATATGCGTATGGCATCTGGTCAAAGAATACCCATCGCATGTCTGGCTATTTCATGTATGTTCCATTCCCAGATACACTGAATGTGACCTGCTATCCCCTCTACTCTGCCGTTGATGCACACCTCTAAATACAAAATAGGTACGATCTCTTCATGGGTGCCGTCCTGAACCCCCGGATTGGAAAGCTTGACCTCAAGATTTGGGCGGAGATCCGGATTCCCTGGGTCATTCTCTTCTACTTGTCAGTTTCAGCTGCTCTCAAGGAATACGAGACTACAGGACATGTCAGGGCAGAACTTTGGTTTATGGTGCTTGCCCATGGCCTCTACGTCAACGCTTGCATGAAGGGGGAAGAGTGTATCCCAACGACCTGGGATATCTTCTATGAGAAGTAAGCAGTTTGCTTTGTCCCAGAACGTAAGAATACTGAGGCTCATCAGTGAGTGATTCCGGCACCATAGGTGGGGGTTCATGTTGATTTTTTGGAACTTGGTAAGCAGCGTCTAAGTATAGTGTCCGTAATGGGAAGTCTTTCTGACAATGCTGTCTTTCCTTTTCGCTGTTCTCATGTAATCATCTAGTCTGGTATGTACAAGTAGCTGGCTTCTCGGATGTTGATGTTGCTCATGATTATTTCTAACGTAGGTGTCCCGTTCACATATTGCTACTCGACCCTGTATCTCGTCAAGACCGAGACGGGTCGAGCACTTTCTCATTCTGTTCCATTCCTGGTTTTCAACTTTGCTCTCCTCTTGATTGGGTATTACATATGGGACACTGCCAATTCTCAGAAGAACCGTTTCCGAATGTCCCAAAGTGGAACGTATATCCCCCGTAATACCTTCCCCCAACTACCATGGGGCACCTTGCATAACCCTACCTATATTAAAACGGAGCATGGAAGTTTGCTTCTCACGTCCGGCTGGTGGGGAATTGCTCGCAAGATCCACTACACCGCTGACCTGATGATGGCGTTGAGCTGGGGACTCATCTGCGGAACAGGAAGTTTGATACCATATTTCTACCCCGTATTTTTCTTAATTGTCTTGGTTCACCGCGTTACTAGAGATATGGAAAGGTGTAGTATAAAGTATGGAAAGGACTGGGAGACTTACTGTCAAAAGGTGCGGTGGATTTTCGTGCCGTATATATGGTAAAACGTCAAACCCTTTTGTAAAAATGTCAAAGAGCCGTATAAATACGCAAATCTTTATAATCTCCTGGTTGCTTATACATAATGAATATTTTGAAAAAAAGAGTATGTGCATGAAAGGTTGCAGGAAAATATAGAACGGAACAGAATAAGGAAGGATGACATCATGGCTGGTCATTTGAGATAAATCGAAGACCAAAGCTAATAAAACAAGCAGGTTAGCGGGATAGTAGATTAGCAAGGACCAAGACGAACAACGTTACTCACTTGATTCCTACGGCGAGGAAGACCACCGCCACCAACACCAAAGCCCCCACCATATCTTCAAAAGCGGTGCCTTTTTCTACGTGCCGTAACGTTAAGATAGAATCCCCGCAATAGCGCAAATACTTGACTTACCGATATGTTGTAGCCTCTCCGCCCGCGCCCAGAACTGAAGTAACGAATAGAACATAATAATCACAGAAATGACTCCAAAGATTACGCCTGCAGCTTGTCCAACTTTGTCCCCAAAGTTAAGCAGACCGACCGCGAGTCCCCCCAAAACCAGACACACTATCATAGTTATTAATACTTTCGTCAGTATAAGTTTCCATTATCAATGGCTGGCCAGGAGCAATGCTTACACTGCATCCATGACAAGAACGTTCTTTCATTTGCAAAAAACCCCTTTGGGTTTGGAGGAATGGGGCTCTGGTTAACGGCTGCCCGCTGTCGGCGTCGTCGGCGTCCTGGTAGTGTTCCCCAGGACTCCAAGAAGGAAAAGAAACCGGTGCGACTGAAGACGGGCATGTCTGAACCTGCGTCACTCTCAGTCACTTGGTCGACTTCACGGCTGGCGTCACGGCTGGCGTCACGGCTGGCGTCACGGCTGTCAGTCACTTGGTTGACTTCGCCAATATCTTCACGGCTGGCTTCAACGGGAGCAGATACTTCGGCCATTGTGGTGGAGTGCAGGTGCCCGAACCTAGGTCTGCTCTTCCCCGTAAGACAAGTTCAGCAGCTGCTAAGCGCCACGTTTAAGCTCACATGACTGTCATGGTAACCGCAACTTGCAACCACTCACACACCAGCAGGTCTCTTCCCAGAAGGTTTACTGATCATTCCCCCACCATGCTTCCAACAACATGCCTTCGGCGGGCTATACCGATAGTCAAAACAAGAAACCCGGCAGGGCTTACATCAGGACAATACCTTGCCGGTACTCCATCCTCTACGCGCTACAACTCCTCGACCAGTAACAAGAAAGTCAAAGACGTTAGTGGTGCCGACAAACGTTACCAACTTATTCGGGATATCCTTTACTCGCGTGAAGTACCTACGACACAACCTAAACCCATTCCGCCAGCGAGTGCTGCACTATTTACTGCCCCTGTAGCTACCGACCCTGCTAACCCTCAGGCACTGAAAAGAGATGCAATCGAACGTGCATGGGCGATACTGAAGGAAAGAGAAGCGGTAGCAAAAGTGCAAGAATTGAGGGGGATGTATGAAAGTATGAGGAGCGCAATGGAAGAGTTGGAAAGAACCGATCGTAGACTCTTTGAGGCAGCCAAGGTTGCGGCTGACAGAGAGGAAGTGGTGGTTTTCCCTAGACGTCTGCGTGTCCCCACCGACACGCCACCATTGGAAGGGTGGGATTATGATATGAAAACCGGGACTCGGTAATTGATTATTTTAATAAGTTATATTGCATCTCGGCCTTCTTTGAGGGAGCACTAGGACGTGTTCATAAATTTTCCCGTTTGCTCCTGGCGAAGCCTCAGTTGCATTATTCAGTGAACCTCCTGTAAGTCCACACGGTGAACCTGCGTGGACTTACAGGGAGAGTGGGCGAACAGTGTTAGGAATCAAGAAGGTTATATTTCGATGAACAATGTGCACACCCCACGTATATGTCCTACTTTTAGTACCCCAACTCAATAGGCAGCTTCCCTGGCCATTGCGATCGCGGAAACAGGAACTACTGGCTTCCTACTACCCTTGGGAGCTGTCGCCTTTCTAGGCGGCGGAACTGGAGTACCTGCTCCAGCCATCCTTGCTTTTTCCCTGGCGATCTCATCCATCCAACCCACCATTCTCTGTTTTGAATCTGCGGTCATGTACGAAACCACATCCACAGAACCTGGTTTGTTCTCCAGGATGCTCATGAACCAGCCAGCCCCAGGTTGAGCGACATAGCTCGGATTGAAAATCATCTCAATGCAGTATGGTGCGTAGATGAGTTCAGGATCTGCCGGATGGATATGACCAATTTGATGTAGTGGAAGGGCATAGACTGGCTTTGTCTACGGGTTTTCAAAGTTGGCAAAGTTATGCGTGAACAGATTGGCAAATGTCGTGGTAGTGTTGCCTTTGTCAATGTATGCCTACCTCGCGGTATTCAAAGTCAAATATTTGAAGTTCGTTATCGCGGAGAATGCACCAGTATTTGCGCCATATCTTGGAATAACAAAAATTGGGGTAAACTGGTCCGGTCAGGGTTCAATGGGTCATAATAGTTCAAATATCCTACCGACGCGCCCGTGGTGTGAATTAAAAAGTTCAGATAATCTCCAAATTCGGGCTCTGCAGGAAGTGGCTCTGACTTTGGGAAATCATGCAGAATGTTAGGTGCATACACCAACCGTGCCTCTTGCTGGTCATACCTCAGGTTCCGGACAATACTCTTCATCCAAGAACACGCCCATCTGCATAGTGATCTTCGCAATTTCTTTCTTTCCGTTGGGAGACATGGCCATGTACTCAGCCGGAATTTTTGTGCCAACACTCGCTCGACCAGGCACAATGAACGTCAGCTCGCCAAGCAACTGCCCGGCATCAGGCGCTGTTCCGCTTGGTGTGGACGTACCGCTTCCATTGAAGGCATTGAACCCCATTGACGACGACGTTGGAGAACGACGAAGATTAGACAACAGTCCTAGCTTGGGGCGGAGAACGGTTGGGTCGGCGGCTGCTGGGACACAATCGAAGGAAGGAGAGGTGGACAAATGAGGAGAAAAGTCGTTGGATAATCTGGCATTAGCCGGAACAGAATGAAGACGAATGGTGACACGAGTATCTTGGTCTTCGGTGTCGCTAGAAGAACGAACTCTCAGAATATGATCAATGTCAAAACGATAATGGGGTAACTTACAAGATGAAACCTTCTCTAGGATACGCGATTAATCCAAAGCCTTTATTCGCTTCCTTTCGGAGAGATAAGGTTGCCGTATAGTGCGATTGGGAACCAATTTGGATGCGGCATACAATGTTGGTTGCTAAGATAAACAGTGAACATGTGGCTCTTGTTGGAGGGGAATTGCATACACGCACCATTGGTACTGCATTTCAAACGCAACTCCTCCAATTGCAGATACAACCTGCGAATTTTGAAGCTCCCTGCTTCCACATTATCGAACACCGCGGTTACCGGTCTTCTGTTGACTTTGCCCTTCTGCATGTGTGAACCGTTCATACCTCTTGCCCCTCCTTGTCGTGCCATTCCTGGTAATGCACGCGCTCCGGGCGCCGGCCGAATTTCTTCCGCACCCTCCTCAGACATGTCCATCAAATGCTCCGGAAACTCCATAACCGCTCCATGCGCAGATATCAATCGCGTATGAGCAGCGGCCATATGTAAAGTATCGGGGTCAACTAGGCCAGTACTAGTACTATGGATCCATGTCCAAAGGGCTGGAGAGACCTTGTCCGCAATATGCAATGAGGGAGGAAAATGAATTGATTTTGGAGCAGCATCATTGAAGGGTATATTGATAGAGGATGGGTTTCCGTGGGTAGTTATTATGTCGGCATCATATTCCCCACTGTTGCGAAGTAGCGACTTGATGGAACGGACGGAACGTTGTTTCTTCAATGACGTTAACATTGTGCGGTAGTTAATCGACGTAAATGGCACTCGGCCCCAAATATCCGTTCAGAACTGGTGCTTCCTTACAAGAGTTTTCTCACGCAAAAGTGCGCCGGTGTTTTTGAACATGCTTTGGCCCGCGATGTGGCAGTGATTACGAGTTGTCCGAACGCGTCTTTGTCGCGTCGTATCACGTGAACTCGATTACTGCGCACCATCGTTGGGACGTTCATCTCGTCCGCGTGCGTGGTTCAGTCAGCAACTGTGAAAGATGCTTTCAGGAACATCACAGTCATCTTTACGCGCAGATGCAGTAGAGTTCACGCCGTCAAGTGCGAGCTTCCATCCCCAACCACTTCCTTACTATGTCCATGGTTTGACCGGCGCGCAGCAGGAGGCGCACCCTGCTTGCTATGCACCAGCTGCCGAACATGCATACCTACTTTCCAATAACGTTCATTATAGAAACATGTTGCCAAGTTGGGAATGGTCATCGTACGGTTTACCTCAGCCACCCACCATGCCACAGCCTCCTATGGACCTGCCGGTACCGATGGAAGTTGATCTAAGCGACGCCGGAGCTTTCCCAAGACCTCATAGACCAAATATTGGACAGAGAGGCAGACCAGTAAGGCTTCTTACAAACTTTTACAGAATGTCGTCTCCTGATATAAAAATCTATCATTATGGTAAGTCCCAGATGCTCGGTGAATACGTCATCTGAGTTGCATTGAGATGAACAGCCTCACCGATAGGAATCTTATTTATGCAGATGTCGAAATCCACCCAGAAAATATTGTTGCAGTCAATCGCAAAGTTTTAGAAGCATGGCGACGAATGCCTCGAGATCCTACGCAAAGTCATGTTGCTGCAGCCGCTGTCTATGATGGGCGGAGAAACCTATTTATGCCGACAGAGTATCCACTGGCCAACGAAACAACATTCCGGGGAAAGACTCGACGTGAGGAGGTATTTTATGTCGAGCTTTCTGAAAGTGTGGTTGCTGAGGCTGTTGGAGCCCACCCAGTGAAACGGTATGTTCTTCTCATTTCCTGGAATCCCACGCGCTCTTATTTACATTGGAACATCCCCAGTGGACCTCAGCGCTACAAACTTCGACTACGAAAGGTAGCAGAGATAGACATGGAGCGCCTTCACAAGTTTCTGGACGGCCGTTCTCTAGAGTTGCCGCGAGAGACCATAATGGTTCTGGAAGTCATGCTGCGACATCGTCCAGCACTGCTTTTGCAATCAGGTGGAACAGGAGGTGGTTTCTACACCAGCGACGGTGCAATGCGCATTCGGGGAGGACTGGCCATACACCCTGGATGGTATCAGAGCCTCAGGCCGACCTTTGGTCAATTGTTGTTAAATTTGGATATCTCCTCGACGGCCTTTTACCAGAACGGTTGGTTTCACCAGAGCCCTTCCGCGGTCCATAGCAGAGCGCTAAAGTGAGCAGTTCACCTATAGGAGCACTTCTGGATATCGTAGCCCGCTTCTTTCAAAGAGAAACCATTCAGGAAGTCAGTATAGAGACGTCGCGCGATCTTCAACGACTTACCCGCTTTCTGCAAGATGTCTCTATAGAAATTACGTACCGCACGACCGGTCGTCGCCGCTACAAAGTGAAAGGCCTCACTCCCACATCAGCAGTCGAAACTCACCTCACAATTGGCAAAAGTTCATCAATGCAATATATCAGCGTCGCCGAATATTTCAAGCAAAAATATGACATTGAATTGGCCCATCCAAATTTACCCTGCGTTACCTCGGGGACGAAGAATGACATTGTAATTCCAATGGAGTTGTGTGTCGTGCGGCCGAATCAGCGACATACTGGGAGACTCAACGATAGACAGGCTTCAGAGATGGTGAAGATTACGGCGTTATTGCCCAAAAACAGACTAGGGAGGATTGAGCAAGGCAAACAGTATGTCTTTCTTATGAGAACGCAAGTGACCAGGAGTAAGAAAACTAAGACAACTCTCGTAGAGTAATGCACAGCGATGCAGCGCTCTTCGCAGCCTGGGGGGTACAGCTCGAGCCGCAAATGGTTGAGATAGAAGGTCGAATTCTACCGCCCCCACAACTCTCATTTCAACCACTTCCTCAGCCGCTTCTTCCCGGCCAGCCAAATCTCGCTTCACAAACATCAAATCTGATTGGGATTCCGGAGTTTGGGGCATGGAAGATGGAGCGTACTCGGAAATTTGCAGCTGGTGCTTCACTCAGATTCTGGTCCGTTGCGGTGTTTGGGGATGAAAAAGACGTTCCTATTGAAACTGTTCAGGCATTTGTTCTGATGCTCATTCACGCTATGGAGGATAAAGGAATGGAAGTGTATAACCACAGACCAGAGATTGTGTATGGGCCCGCAAGGAGTGAGGTTGCGGCCACATTGACGCTGGCGGAAGAGAAAGCACGGGAGAACCCTGAAGCTGGCGCCAGAGTCTTGGGTGGGTTATCTGGCCACGCAGAGGTGCAGCTGGTATTGTGCATCATTTCTCAGAAGCATACTGTAAGTCGGCTAGTGTTCCCTGGATATACGAATCTCACTCAATGCGTTCGTTTGCAATACGTAGGTCTACAATGACATCAAGCGTGTTGCTGAAACCCAAATGGGTCTCATGACACAGTGTTGCATGTCTCGTCAAGTGCTAAAGCTTGAAGCAGCATATGTTGGCAATCTAATCCTAAAACTTAATACCAAGCTGGGCGGTATTAACGTCTTTGTGGATCCTGTTAAACAATTGAGATGTTTGGGTGAGCGGACGAGTACCATGATCTTTGGTGCGGACGTGACACATCCACCACCTGGGACCATCGAAGGACGGAGTATTGCAGCCGTGGTGGGCAGTGTAGACAGCAGGTCAGTTCAGACAATTCGTGATGCTGCCTCTGGTTAGCTCTATAGCTGAATCTCGTCTGATTATTAAGGTTTTGTGAGTACCGGGCATCGATTCGCATCCAAAATGCCCGGCAAGAAATTATTACCGATTTGGCGTCGATGGCATCCGAGCTCCTCGACCTGTTTTACCAACGTGCTAAAATCTATCCCAAGCGGATCATATTTTATCGTGATGGTGTTTCGGATGGTCAATTTACTGAAGTTGCTTTGCAAGAGATTGCAAACTTGAGGAAGGCGCTTGTGGACAAGGGTGTTCAAGACGCGCGAATTACATTCCTGGTGGTGAACAAGCGACATCATGTTAGAGTTTTCCCAGTGGAAGACGGACTGGAGAGAGGAAGAGTGATGGATCGCAAGGGAAACGCTATGCCTGGGACGGTGGTTGATACTGGTGGGTGTTCTTCTCATTTGCACATGAACAAGGTCAATGAACTAATAACTAATTGTTTTCTGTTTGAATGGCAGGTATTGTCCATCCATACGAGTTTGATTTCTACCTTACCTCCCACGCCGGACTGCAAGGAACATCTAAACCAGCACATTATCATGTCTTGTACGATGAGAACAGATTTACGGCTGACGATCTTCAGGAATTGACGTATCGGCTGTGTTATTTGTATGCCAGGAGCACGCGTTCAGTAAGTATCGTTCCTCCCGCGTACTATGCCCATCTCGTCGCTGCGCGGGCACGATGCCATGCAGCATCCATGCAGTCGACTTCAGCAACGGGTATAACAGTGAAGGAAGGAGATTTCAATTCAATGGCAGAACAAAATGAGACCCCCAAAAAACGGGTGGGCGTTTTGGAGATTGGAAAAGTGGCAGTGGAGTTGCAGAGGAAAATGTATTTTACTTGATGATGGGCTAGAAAGTAGATAGCATTTGTGTAACTGTCGTTGTTTATAGTTTTTTTTTGTTCATAGCTTGGATTCTAGACTGAATATACTTTCCTTCTTATAGGCTAGCTTGTTTGTCCATATTTGGTGACGGACGTGCATATCGCACTTCTTCGGATTGTAGGATTCACGCATCTAGACAGTCAACCGTCCATAAAAATATAAAGTTTGTGGAATCAAGATATAAGTTGATGTGCATGGTGATGATTAAGTTAGAATACGATTCTATTGTAGACTACGTAATAGAGCTATTGTCCCAGTAGGCTGCACTTAACCTTATAGCCACGTGGCTAAATATGTTATTTAGGGTAGTTGTTTGCCAATGTATTGAGCAATTGATATTGTGAAACTAAAGGACCCAATACCCTCCATCAAGATAAACATAAATGCCATTTCCTCTGTTCCAAACCACTATCAAACTCTCCTCCAATCTCAATCATTCATAATATGCTCACCCATCGTGTTGTTGTTTGTGGGGAGTGTGTTCGTAACGCCTTGGTTAATGAATATGATTCTCTAGCTGTCATTGAAATTGAAAGGTTAGAGTCTTCACCGCTGGGATGACAATGGACGGAGATTTTAAAAGTTCTTCAATGATAATCCTTTACCTCGCTCAGATTGCTATGTCTTCTTTTCTTTACTATATTGTTAGATCAAACTTAGTATACACTGGTAGACTGTCTGATAGAAAGAAATATGCTCTCCAGGATTATCCATATCACCGCACACGAACACGAGCTTAAATTAGATGGCTTCCGCTCACACCGCCCTTGTCAAGAAAGGTAAAGAGGGTATCACCTTTCAAAATCGTCACCTGGAACCGACGACTCAGGGGCAGAGGACTCTCAAGCCAGATGCCCGAAATTACCCTAGTGTGCATTGTAGTATGTTTTGCATCCTGAAAATGCTGCTTTGTTCTTGGAATGTTAACAGTGCGAATTCTCCTCATTGCTAATCAAAAATATTATAATTTGGTAATGAAATCATGTATATCAACATCAGAATCCTCCGTCTTCATCTCGTTCATCCTGGTCAAAGAAGCCTTCCACGCTCTCCACAACGCTGGCCAGACTCGAAGACCGAGAAAACCGGGGAGTGGATGCGTTTGAAGGATCTACTGAGAGAATTTGTTAATAGACGTTTTCCTGAACGGGCAGCATGTGGATCGATACTTAACCATGATTTTCTGATGTAGTGGGTTCAACCTCAACGTCATGATTATCCTTCCAAGTAGACTGACCCGAAATCTTGCCAGATATTTGGGGATACTTCTTCCGTGCAATATGTCCTCTTACCAAAGCCTGTATGATTTGTGCTGCCTGATATGGTTCAATTAACTTTTAGATCGTATTGATGTTTACTGGATCTTTCAATCAAATACCTCATTTCGCTGGACTTCCAAAAGCGCATCTCGGCTAGCGCTTCTGGACGGTGGCTGCACGACGGATCGTGCTGAAGGCGTACGTGGCACACTATGAACAATAAATTCATCCTTGTCCTCACATAGACCAGCTGATGATTGAGGAGTTTGGCGTGATACCGAAGACGTGTGCTCAATATTTTGATCTGATGCATGCAACACATTTGGTGGGCGGGATCCTTGTTCTTCGCTCCCAGGCTGAGCTAGCCCGCCGCCTTGTATGGCGCTTTCGGTAAGTGATTCCATTGACGGCAAGCGTGAGTTCGAGCGATTAAGAGATTGTGCTGACGGCGCGCGAATACGATCCCTATCTCCTGCCGGCTGAGATGACGAAATCCTACTTGTTGATGCACTGGATGAGATAGACTGTGAGCGTGAGTGATGCTGTGAGGATGGTTTGGACGTAGAAATGCCAGATGGTTCAGAAGCTGCTGGAACGGGGAGTGATTGCGTGGTTTTTCGGGTGTCATCGCCTTCTGCCCGTCCTTCTTCAGTGTGCAGTTCCCGCTAGTTCAGCAACCTGAAATGAGGACGCTGGAAACTAGACTCTAGTGTGGTCCAAATTACCACCTACCGGAATAAAGGAGACCTGCGTCGGTGACCTACTGAAGGGTCGGTAATTAGTCCCGACTGGTGTCTTTTCATCATCGTCCTCCTCATCCACAAAAAGTTTTCTATGGTCAAACGCAGTTTTAATCGGGTCTGTACTTTGCCTATCCGCTCCCGGGCGTGATGTTTCATTGTTGCTGGTGCTATTGTTATGTGCCAGGCTGTAAGTATTGCGTAGGGAGAAGACAGCCGCAAAACGTGATTCTGCATACCGGTCGACATTTGCCGCCGTACGCATTTCTGTTTTTCGCCTCAGCTCCTTCACCAAGGTATCCAGTGTTTCCACCTCCTTCCTCAGCTTTTCATTAACCACAAGCTCTGACATGTAGTCCTTCTGGTACTGATCGCGTTCTTTTCTAATAACACTGCACTCCGCACTATATTGTGCGGAAAGGGACTCTTGTGCGGCATTCGATTCTACAAATAAATGACGCTGTTGGATTCTCGGTTTATCGCTCAGCAACGGAATACGGCATGTAAATACCTCTAAGCTTCTTTCGAAGATCCTCCAGTTCCTTCTTTAGTATACTGGCATGCTATATTCGTTTATTGGCTGAGTCAGGAGCGTGAAGCCACATTGCATTGCCTCAATCATCCAAGCCCACCTTTTCAAATTGCACACATCTACCTTGACTCTCCACCAACTCCTTGGTCTTTCGATCCCTCTCCCGACCAAGGTTATCGAGCGCATCCTGTAACCCTTTTAGCTGCTCTTGCAAATCTGCAAAGTCCTTGTCAATTTTCATGTATCGCCGACTGCCATCAATTTCTCCCACCTCTCAGCTTGTTGTCTACTCTGCCAGGCTTTTCCATCTTGCCCAATTCGATCCTCAACTTCTCCATGTCATCCTTGTACCGATCATCTAACTGTCGATATTTTTGCTCCCATTCTTTGATTTCCTTTCCGGCCTTTTCTTTCACCGCATGCATTTCTTCAACTGCAGTCTTATAAGCTCTATCGAGGGTAGCAAGACGATGTTGGAGATCGGAAATGGTTGATTCAAGAGTAGCGATGCTAGCGAGCTGGGGAGACTGCTCGTTTGATTGGTTTGAAGAGTGCCCTTCGAGGGACTGTTTATTTTACCTTTCAGTATGAATGGGGTGGAGTTCTGACCAACATACCTTTTAAAGTCGCATTCTGCCGCAATGCCTCGTTCAATTTCTGCGTGAGCTCATCGACCACTCTATCGTAACCCAACAAGGTGTCCGAGTCTTGTTCCATCACATGGGTATCCGCTTTCCAGTGTTCTAGAAGGCGTCGTAGTCGAAGATTCTGTGGCAAGAGTTGGGAACCAATTATTAACTCTACTTCAAACGGCCGCCTCTGTTTAACTCGCGTACGTCTTGAAATAGGTTTTTACATTCCAACTCACGGTTGACGAGTGTAGTATAGCGTGTGCTGAAAAAATTCCTCAATATTTTTGAAGAGGGAGCTATGCTAGGATCAGAGTCTACACACCTCTGCTTCAAACTCGCAACCGTCGCCTCAAGCTCCTTAGTTTTCTTCTCATAGTGCTTCGCCGCGCTTCGTAAACTAGAAATGGTCTTTGAGTGGTCACGAGAAATGAGCACAATATTGCTAAGAAGAGATGACCTGTTCCGAAGGACGAACCTTATCTTCCGGAATTAGTATATCTTTTGCTGCCCTGCCCGTCTTTCCCGGCAAGTAGCTCATACTCTGAATTGAGCAATTCATTAAGCACATGTCAATTCAACGAGCGTACGACATTGACAGTAACTATTTACGTTGATAGCCAGCATTTCTTCATATCTTCTGTCCATCTTACTGATCTCCTGTTCTAAAGTACGTATCTTCGTCGCCATCACCTGAGAGAGCACGCCAGTAAGAATGGGAGGTCGTGTAGATGAGTTAATGGTGGTCAGCAACATGCCGCACTAGTCTGCAGAGCTCATGTTCACCAACCTTTCGCTCTTGAGTCAGATCATTGATCTGACCCTTTGCATATAGCAGCTCTTCCTGCAATGCTTCTGGTTCCTTGATAGTCGGTACTTGCCGCTGCTGGCGTGATTTCCTTGGTGAGTGACCATCTATAAATAAGACCAGAAATATGAGAATTTGCAATAAGCGCATTAAGAGCTTCTGTACATATACCCAAACCTTTTCGATCAGTGCATCTGCGAGCACTACCCAAACTCTCTATTGTTGTGGTGTACAATTTGATCACGTCTGGAGAAAGACGTTTGCCGATACCTTTAAAATGGTAAAAGTAGAAGGTTGATAATCAGCCCCGCAGTTGCAGGCAGCTGATGTAGATGATCTGGATCCTTGCCTGTTGACTTTGTGGCAGATGCTGTTCGTTTTACGGCATGATAATGATAGTTAGCGATCGAACAGTCGTAGATGGCGATGCGCTTGCATCCATGCAGCTCTCGGACCAAAAATTGCATCAAGACCAACCGGTTCTGAAGTCAGGTATTCCGGCCTTCTTTTGTCCATCTCCACTTTCTCCGCTCCTTTTCCGATTTTGTGGTGGATATTGAGAGTCTGGGTCTTCTCGTATTTCTTCTATGAAAGGAGCTAAATTATCGTACTTCCTCGAGTAAGGCATCACGGCCATTGCCACTTTAAAATGTTAAGTCTTGAAGATGCGGATGAAATTGTTAATTGTTCATACTTCCAGGATGCTGATCTGCTATGCTTATATAAGCAAGGCAGAAATGATATGGTAAGCTAAACTTGCCTGTCTGCCTGCAACTTCAAACTTCCAGTGTTAGATACCTGAGTAGAAGAAACATGTCCGATACAGATGACGACGCCGATGTTGCCCCCGCGGTCGATCTGCCTGCCAAGCCTTTAACTGCAGATCTCGTCAGTTCTCATATCTCCCTCCTCGCACGCACCGGCAACGGCCTCTCTCATGCCTATACACGCCTCGAAATCCACGACGAAGGTCTAACTGATGTGAACATTTTAGAGTCTTATCCTCACCTGCGCTACATTGATCTCTCGCTGAATGCGCTGGACGATGTTACGGCGCTGAACAGCCTGGAATACCTCCTCGCATTAGATCTTCATTCAAATCATTTGAGAAATATTCCAGCTGTACTGGATAAAAAGAAGTATTTACAGCATGTGAACTTGGCGAGAAACAAGATTGAGAGATTTGAGGTGACGTCTTGGCCGCTTTGCGCGTGGCTGAACTTGAATGGTAAGATAGGTTGACAAGGAAACTTGGTGATCCATTTGACATTTTTTGGGTGTTCAGAAAATAGCCTTCCATCGCTCGCCCTCCCGGACTTTTCATCCCTCCTCCATCTTGAAGCACGCTCCAATGTTGCCAAATTAGTGTCACCTCTGATGGCTCCAAAGCTCCAAAAGCTTTATCTTGGGAACAATCCTTTGGAGAAGCTCTCGAACATTGATCTTGAAGGAAAGCCGTTTCTCCAGCTTTTGCATTTGAGAGAATGCGGAATTAAGAGTCTCGAGACAGGGAAAGGCGTGATGGAGGGGTTGAGAAGTTTGGTTTACTTGAACTTGAGGTGGGAATTATGAGCTTTGGTGGTCATCACCTCCTTAGATGTTAGCCCAGATTTCTCACTCTTCACATTTCTGCAAAACTACAGAGACAACAAGATACAATCGCCAACACAAATCGATCACCTTCAGCCCCTCAGTCGCTTGAAGATTCTCGTACTAATGGGTAGAGAATAACAACAGTTTCTTGATGATTGGCTGTCCAGATTGATCTTTTTGCCTATTGTCTCAGGAAATCCGATCGACCAGCATCCCTCATACCGCCTCGAAATCGTTCATCGTCTGCCAAAGCTCGAGCGCTTGGATAAGGATCCTGTGACTGACGAAGAAAGAGAAGAAGCGGAGCAATACCGGCTTCAGCTAGAGCGAGAGAACGCAGAAGCCGCCGCAAGTGGGGCTACAGTAGGTGAGGATGACGAAGGGGAAAGCCAAAAGGTAGGAGGGATCATATGCATGTAAATGACAAACTGCGGGTCATCATTGAAGCATATCCTTCGGACGCAGGAAGGAGATGAGGAAGGCGATTAAATGTGGTCGGTGCAGTGGGGCGTAAAACAGGAAAGATTTAGGATGATGCGAAATAGATGTGACCTCCAAAGCAAGGAAAATCAAAGAATCCTTCATCTGTGACATCTTGACAGAACAGGATGGAAGACCCAGCCAGGGAAGAATTGGAAACCGATATGGCTACATTACTTCTCTTTCTTTGATAGGTGCTCATCCACAAGTCCCTTCTCTTTTTGTCCCTTCGCTATTAAAAAGGAACCTCCGACAACACATGCTATACCTGCCCACCATTGAGGATTCATCATCGCCATGTCATGGAAAAGCAAGTATCCAAACAAACCCTAATTCATTAACATGTCAGGAAGGAAAATGCTTAAGCCTACGGGAAGACAAAAAAATTGGAGATTTTATGGCTATGTCGCACCGTAAAACACATGTTCGCCGCACTGTTGACGACGGTAACTTGCACAGACGCTGGAGCAAGGTTTAGCCCCTTTGTGAATAACGTCCACATCATAGCGTTCGAAAGAACCACGAGGATGACGCAGGCAACACGAAAAACTATTGTTGCCTGTTGCAGAATACGTTGTGATTAAGAAAGGATATGTTTGACAAGTCCAGACAGGATGCAACCAGAACAGAAACACCACAGACTCTTTAGAAACCCCCAGATCCCAGCAATTGATTGACCTACCTTTTGCAGACAATCACTTATCCATTCTTTGCCCTCACCCACTAAACATACCCATTTGCTGACATACCATATCGAACCCCCAGCACTAGACAAATCGTTGGTATCTGGCAACGCAGCAAGCTTGCTAAATACCGATGCAAGAGACGCGGCTACACCCGAAGATACTGCGAACAACCAGTGACGTGAGTTGGCCCATTTCGACTGGGGTGGCCTGTTTTTGTTGCTCATCTGTATCTGGGAACGCGGCAAGTGGAAAACGGACGCAAACACGAATAACGCTGGCTCAACCCACGTGATTCAACCAGTGGAGCATCTCAGGCCAAGCTCATGAACATAGTTGCCCGGAAAGGTCCAGTTAAGGCAGGGCAGAAAATAAAAGGGAGACAGTGCACAAGGAAATTTGGGACTTGTTCCTTCGTTGTAAGGAAGAAGAACAAGCAAGTCGTCCAAAAAAAATGGTTCAACTATCCATCAAGCTCTCCCAATCCCTCAAATGACTTCGATACTGTAATAGTTGGGTTATGTCCAATAGCATTACTTTGAGGAACATTGCACTCGGACATCCAAAGGAAAATAGGATTTTCCTCCTCCTATCCTGTACTCAGAGTGCTCCACTCATTCCAGGACAGGTACTGCACTGTCTAACTATGTGTACTTCGCTCCCTTAACTGACACTATGAACGCCGGAGAAACCATTGAAGTACCTGTAAGTGCTTGCGTGTAGATTTAGGTCATGTGCTGCAAAAAGCAGCCTGGGACGACAGCCATCTCTGTGGTTTCATGACGACATTGAAGAATGATTCGGGTTGGACTTCCTCATCTCGTCACCTCCCCCCAGATCTCGTCAATCCATGAGCCTTCAGCTGACTCGATGCAGCGACGATATTCATCATTTTCAGTCCAGTCAATGCCTCTCTCCAGTATTATTCCCTGGGTTAATAGATGAGTACAGAATACAAGGACCGCAAGAGTAAAAGCACCCACCATTAGAAGATTTCCCAGCACTCTTCGCTTCTCCTTTAGCTTTTGCAATTCTATCGAGTTTCTACGCAATAGCATCATTAAATAAGGAGTAGTGCCTCTTGAACCGCTCCCGTGTACCTTACCTTGTGATTTCATCCGTCTCTTCAACGTGAGGCGACGAACTGCAGGTGTTCTCGCTAGGTTTGCGTAGGCCATCATTCTCTTGCATTAATTCTGTCGCAAGAGACGTCAGCCTCAGCCTCCATCAACCGAACGGCCCCCCATGTACGTACCACTTATATGTTGCTCTCTTAGCACGTTTTCCCATGATAAAGATTTGAGCTTGTCCCCTTGCTTCGAATATTGTGTTGTGAGTGCATCCCGCTCAACGAGTTTTCTTCGAAACTTTCTGAGGACGCTGGAGTGAGCACTTGGTCAAACGCGGAAGGTGCGGTGAACATACAGATCCTCTCGAAATTGCGGATTGTAGACTGCAGATAGCACCCGCGGCTGGTCATGACACCTATAGCCAACCAAGAACACAAGTTTAGAGCCCGCTCGTGATGTCAAATGAGCATCGGTGGATGTGGTACCGTCTGATAATGAGGGCCTCCGTGCTTTGTCTGCCCATGATTGAGAGAAGCTCCCAATTCGATCGGCGGATTTGATCTTGCAGCACGCATTCCTCGTTTGTATTGATGTCCAATGCAAGGAGCGACTCCGTTTGGCGTAGCCTCACACGATAAGACTCTTCAAGCTCTTTCCATTGCAGTAGCTCTTGCACCTTTGGGAGAACAAGGGTTTCATTGCGCTCGTTGGGTGAGTCATGGCAATCTGACTGTGTGATCATGACTGAAGGGATGTGTGAATGATCAGCTACACTCGCCAACGCGGTGCGGCACATCAAACGGACATGTTCTGGAGTGGGACTGCTTTTCAATTCTGCAGATGTTTAAACTGGTCTGGGAAACATAACTGCTCTCACATTGCAATATTAAGTTTTATTCCCTTGACTAATTTCAGCGCTTTGGACCCATGCCTCCACTTCTTTCTCCGTAAACCGATGCATACCAACCATCTTATCGCCAGCGTGTAAAACTGGCACATCAAACATGTATTTTCTGAGCCATTCTTTATTCGCGGGTTGCTCAATATCTATTTCGGTCAAAACGAATGGGACCTTTGAACCAGTATGAGCGTCAGAATGAAGTGCGTTCCAAGGACATTAGCGTGGAATGAGACCTTCTGTTGGACACGTAATATAGTTTCCTTTGCAGATTCGCAAAGACCGCAATACTGTTTGGTGAAGAGGGTGAGAGTAGGAGTTAAGCGAGGTCGCATTGTGGAAATGGTGAAGATCACCGCTGTGTTGCTTTCATGCTGCTTTACAGTAAGCGGCTCCGTCCGGATTGACTTGGGAAAGAAATCATCAAATGTCACTCAAATGGATTCTATCACCTTGCAATCTTGCCTTTTTTGATTCTAATGATCCGCAATGTCGAAAGCAGCTTCACCTTTGTCCTATTTCATCCGATCCATCCAGGATGATTCACAAGGCTGCCGTGAGATGCCTTACAGGGCGTTTACGGACCCGCATATTAGCTGCACCATCTTGCACCCTTCGGGCTTTTGCCACCTCCACCTCGGACTTTCCTGATTGGTCTCGCAAACCACCGGCTCCAGATAGTGCGGAGAATCCTGATTACCTTCCCAACATTGCTGTTCCACGGCCTATCCGCCCAGCTACCGAGGCCACATCTACGAAGCGAGCACGGCTAGTCTATGCCTCCCGAAAGCGGGGGATTCTTGAAACGGACTTGTTGCTGTCGACCTTTGCGGGTGAACACTTGAGTGAATTATCAAGGGAGGAGCTGGAAGAATATGATAATTTATTGGAGGAAAATGATTGGGATATCTATTATTGGGTTACTGGAACGGAGGGGAAGATTGTACCGGAACGGGTGCAACAGATGAAGGTTTTCCCAAAAATCGTTGAGCACGCAAAGAATAGGGGGAGGAAAATTCTAAGGATGCCAGACCTGAAGGAGTAATTCAGTCTATCTAGCGTTTCCTTACACCGCTAATATCACCACTATCTCGCATTGGATTGGGATTCTGACAGTTTGACAACTTTGACTAACGAATCCTTGTTCCCGGGTCCGCCTCTTACAAGGTATGAGGTCGGCAATCTCTCGCTACCACTGACTGGCAAACATTCTGCATGGCTGTCCCCGTGCCTTTCGGCAGGCGTCCAGACAACCGAACTTCATGTCATTTCCATAATCCGTCCGCTCCCGTCAATCCTCTGCTGCGAATGGTTGTAATAGGCTGACATCTCATCGATTTCCGCGCCAAATGGCCGATCCCTGAACAAGATCTCACAATGGTGTACACGTGGAAGAACGGGCCTCTTTTTCCTTAGTGATGTGCAGGTGGTAAAGCATCCGGTGTGCCCTATTCTCAATCTCGACGGTATCGAATGAATTGAAAGCCTTACCGGCGGGGTTGATATCTTTGGGGATAGGGTCAGTACATGCTACGTGCTCATATGCCGACCGTGGACATCAGGAAGTATACTATGGAGATAATTGTACTGCCTTAATCTTGGCAGTTGGTCCCATGTAAAATAGTCGAGAACATGTCGTTTGACCCAAACTTGTGACGCGCCTTTCTCCTCATGGTCCACTCTTCAGTGATTACCGCTACATCAGAAACCCGCACGGCGTTGGCCTACGTCCGTTGATGCTGGGCCAAATGGCCATACTGGCGCCTCAGCGGGCTGTCATAGCGTATTGTAATCGACTACTCTTCAATTGACACAGTCCTGTAGCCTTGGGCAAGAAATCCGATCACCGTTTTTGATCGGGAACAGTAATAAGTCGAACAGCTAACTATTGGAACTTCTCCCAATAGTGAGGCAGCATTACAGCGCCATTTCAAAGACTGGGCCCAATTGCGCAAGAATCCAGCCAATCTCCCGATACGCCCTGCTCTTTCTGCTTCCAAGTGGCTTCACTCAGCATCAATCTATCTTGGGATGGCCGCGGATCCTCGCCGACTTCATTCCTAGTCTTGACTTCAATGGGCAGGCATCAACTTCTCCTTTGAAGCAATCTTGTAACTCAATATATTTGAGCTTGATGGTGCGCTGTTCGATAGTCCCTCCCGCAATGAGGTGTAAACTGAGATGGAGTTTAGTTTATCTGGCGCCTTCCCGTCGACCGGGAGAACCGCTGATATAGAACGCTATAAAACTAATTGGCGATTGGGCAGAACTCCATTTGGGGTCTAAAGAACACGCTGCTGGCTTATGCGGGAAGAGTGGCTCAGTCGATCGGAGGGGCCCGTCGCGCTTTCAACTTTGTGTTTACCAGCCGACGAACCCACCACAAGCCGTCGAACGGCGGCCATGTTTGAATTCGCAAAGTCCGCGCTCACAGGAGCACTCGGTTCGAAAGGACCTAGTCTTCCCTTCACTGTTGGAGAGGTCGTGCATTCGGATGCGCTCTGGACTATTCATGACGGTAGTAAAAAGGTAAAAGGTGTGGATGATCTACTTTTATCTCCTCATAGGAGCATGCTAAGTTTGCAAGTTGAGTAGGACGACCGGACACCTGTGAGCGTCTTTGTCTTTGATTCTGTCCGACATCGCGACAAGCTGCCCTTGGCGAGAAATGCTCTCAAAAAGTGCAGAACAATACGGCACCCTGATATGCTAAAAGTTATTGAGGGCGTTGAGGTGGGAGCCTCACTGTGCTATTGCAGCTCAAATACACGTAACTCAATCCCAGAATTTCCAAACCAGACGGAAACCAAGATTATAATAGGGACGGAGGCTGTTACCCCTCTTCGAACATATAGCCCCCTAAAGTCACTCAATCAGAACCTCATAGCGTGGGGCTTGTATAAGATCGCCGTGGGTACTGCGTAGTTACTGTCACCTATACGATTGTCTTGTTTTGATGTTTGCCATGTATCTTGTGACAGACGGCGATCAAGTTTTTGAACACAGACTGTAATATGATTCATGGGAATATTCGAGTTGACTCTATTTATACGACCAAAGCGGGAGAGTGGAAGTATGTGGTCCGACATGATTATCCTTTACCACCTGGTAACTCGACTGACTTCGATTTCGGCTGACTTAGATTGGGAGGGTTCGAGCTGTTAAGCTCGCTGAAAGAGGACAACCCGGTGATATTGACATACGGAGGCTACCTACCAGAAGCTTCAAAGTACGCACCGCCCGAGGTGAGAAAGACCTCCTGGACAGCATGCCGCAAGTGGGTTCTAAACACGGAAAAATGGTACTACACTCTGTTGTACACGCTTTGATGCTCTCCCTGTCAACAGCACGCCATCCAATGCCGTCGATTCCTGGGCGTTTGGTTGCCTGATACACGAGATTTTTAATGGTTTTTTCTCACGACCGGAAGATCTTGGGCAGCGTGGCGATATACCACAAGAGCTTTTCCCTATTTACAAGTCCTTCCTGAACATGGAACCAAAGGCGCGAATGACAATGGGCGACTTTCTCGATAAAGGAATTTGGAAGCAGGGATACTTTGATAAGGATTTCATCTCCGTCACATTGTTTTTGGAGCAAATAGCCATCAAGGATGCGTTTGAAAAAGAGCAATTTATCAGGTGCTGGGTAACAGTGCGCTTTATCCAGAGGCTTTTTTTTACTCAACTGGGATGAGATAGGAAGATTGACGCATCGCTAGAATCTTTTCCTCTCGAATTTTGCAAGTATAAGATCCTTCCCGAGCTGATCCAGGCCGTCGAATATGGCGGCGCGGGGGCCAAAGCTTTGACCCCAATTTTGAAACTTGGTGGCAAGCTAGATCAGCAGGAGTTTGATAATCTAGTGGTGCCGATTGTCATCAAGTTGTTTGCTTCCTCTGATCGAGCAATTCGAGTCAGCCTCTGTGAGGGCCTGCCCAATTTCATCAACAATCTCAACTCTAAAACCGTTTCCGACAAGATCTTCCCTAACCTCGCAATCGGATTTATGGACTCAAGTGTGTGTGTCACTAATTTGCAAGTTGAACAACCCAATACCTTGCCTCATTATCGCTTGCTACTGGCCTTAGGCTGTGATCCGCGAATGCACACTGAAATCAGTGCTTGTTATAATAGGGAAGGTTGGTAAGCTGCCGAGTATTACAACATATGTCGTAACTCAACCAGTGCAAACTTTAGCTAAACGAAAGAATAACGAACAACGATCTTTTAAGATATTTAGCAAAGCTACAACAGGATGAGGAACCAGGAATTCGGACGGTATGCGACCGCCGTGGCATTTTCCAGGTTTGCAGTTTGACTAAGTACCTAGTTGCAGAACACCACCATATGTCTTGGAAAAATTAGCAAGCATTTGAATGATGCGGTGAGTGGAACTGTCGTCACTCATCCTCCTTCGCTAGCAGACTAATTCAAGGCTCTAGACAAAGAAACGTGTCCTGGTTCCTGCCTTTCTGAGAAGTTTCAACGACCCATTCGCTCCGGCGCGAACTGCGGGACTTGTCGCGCTGGCAGGTCAGTTAATGCCGGTCCTCAAGGGTTTGCCAATGATCTCACAGTGCCTTCTTTGCAAAATGGATATGTTTGATAGCGACGGTAGAGTTTTACGATGGACAGGACTGTGCACAGAGAATTATTCCGACCCTTGCGCCGCTCCTTCTCGATCCGGAGAAGCAGGTCCGGAGACAAGCATTTAATAACATGGAGATCTTCGTGAAAAAGTTGGAGAAGATTGCGGACAACATGGTACAGCCTATGATGTGTTACGTGTTGCACTTGCGCTGACAGTTCCTCGCGAGTAGCCAGAAACATCCGTGCCTGCTGGCACTGTCGCAAACGGAGGCCCCGGCGCCTCACAGCCACCGGGGGCATCGACAGAGGGTTGGGCGAATTGGGCTATTTCAGCTGTTTCGACAAAACTTGGTACTAGTTTAACTCCAAATGGATCCTCAACCGATTTGACCAAAACACCACCAACGACAACGAAACCGGCTCCTACCACTGCTTCTTCTACTCCATTAAACCCTTCTATTGCCACACAAGCTCGGAACATGGCGCCGTCCGTAGCCATGGCACCCCTAGTCCCTGTCAGCGCACCAAATGGATGGGATGTTGGAGCCGCAGGCTGGGGTTGGGGTATGTTCGCCTGGATGCGAAAATTCTGGACGCTATGGAAGGTTAATATGCTATGGCAGATACGGAAAGCGATCTCCCTCCAGTTACCAAAACGGTGTCCCAGCCAAGCAGCTCGAAGGGTGTTGGATCGGCATTTTCCATCAAGGCGGCAAAAGCCACGGAAAACTGGGCAGAGTGGGGCGACAACTTCGATCCTATACCAAGCAGCAAGCCAAACCGCTCAACAGCTCAACCCACTACTAGCCTAGTTTCCAGTGGAGAAAATGCATGGACCGAAAATTGGGGTGGGGATGGGTGGGATATTGATCCTTTAACACCATCCAGACCATTATCATCCAACAGTATTGGAAGCCCAGGTGGTTCAGCGGAAGACAAAGAACGACGTCGTCAGGTAATCGGAAGTCACATCCGCTCATCAATCGTCAAACTCTCTAGCTGACTACCAATATGATAGCGTCTTGCAGAGCAACGTGAAGCGAGAAAAGCTGGCAAGTTGGGTGCTAGGAAAATATAACCATGTCTTAAATATAGGTGACTTTCTATGGAAGGCATGTTAGCCTTATGCAACAGATTCAGTTGTGGGTTCCGTTTCCCCCGCAATCGCCGCCTTTTGAGATTCTCCTTCAGTTGAGCCACCTCCCGCATTATTATCTAAACCCCCCTGAATAGATAAATCTTCCCCCGTTAAGCGGTGCATCAGAGATTTTCGCTCTTGTTTGTTTAGCAGTAATGATACGCTCACGTGGGCACGCCAAATAGGTAGAAGAATAGTACTTCTGGCGCTACAACGAAAATCAGTTGACAGGTCAAAGGCCAATGTCGCTTTACTGAACTATGAATGAATACCTTCCCGTGTAATTCTTCTCTAATGTTGGATCAAACTTGATGATACAGCTGCCCATTGCTAGATATTCCTGGCCGTTAGAGTAGCTTTGCATGGTGTGCTGTCGAGCAAACAGGAAACGTACACATTTCCGTCAACTTCTTCTGCAATTCTTCTCCAAATTCGGTGAACTTGGGATACTCTATGGACAAAAGCGTCACGATATCTGACATCGGTACTTGCACGACACGTTTCCCAGAAACGTAACGCCCAATGGTTGCCAATCCTTCGTTGCTTAGACGGAATGGACATTCTGCTCCGGTATCATTACCAGCACTTCGAGTAAATATACGAATTCCGGTATTTACAATCTAGAAGACCCGTCTGAGTTTGCGGCTATCGAGATTGCTTGTAACTGTACAATGCTACTCACGTTGAGGCGAAAGGAGTTGGAGGCAGTAATGACGTTTTTGATCGCGCGAGATACGAAATATACAGTCCTGTAATTGTCTTTTTCCGAACGCACAACAAATTGCTCCTGTGGAAACGAGTCGTCCAGTCCATAGAATTCCCTATAGTTGACCAATTCTCTGTCTATTTCTTGATGATGTTAATGCAAGGAGCAGTTTTGGCATACCTCATGCCCATAAGCTCTTGGTTGTCGCTGTTCAGGAAAACAAATGGACTTTCGCGGCCCTCCCATGCTGCAGCGCTCTTATATTTCACAATTTCGCTGGACCCTTCAGTCTCCGTGCGGGTGCGCTTTGCTGAGCGGTTACTAATTACAAGTATTTGATAAGTTAACATTCCTGATTTTCGAACAGCGGGGACGAGCACCTGTCATCATCCTGCGAGCGCTTGCGCTCATTGATAGAACTGCAATTGGGAGCTCATTTAGGCTGCCCGCACCAATGTGCAGTGCAAGCGATAAGATACTCATCTTACCTCGTATCCAATTCCACTGTGGTAGCTTCTTTTGTCTCAGTCTCTTCTTTTTCCTCCGCAGTGGCCTCCAGTTCTACATTGGGCTCATTACCAGGGATCCTATCCAACGCCCCGTACGAGGCAACTTTTTCGAGGACTGCCACAAAGAACCCGCCAGTATTTTGCAAGAAAGGATATACACGAAGACTACACAGTAAAGTCATGGATCAGTCATGAATCTTTAAACCATCGCTAATGATGACCGCGGCACTCACCAGCGGTCGAGATTCAATTCGGCAGCATTCTCAGGAGGAAACATCGACGGAAGCAGACCAACGCTTTCTGCTTCAGGCACATCCGCAAATTTTGAATAAAATTCACCGCTCTTGCTTTGGACCTAGGTAGTGTAAGCATCAATATATCTGTTTTCATGTACATGTTCGAGGTCCTGAGTTCTACCTTCCATGTTGACAGTCCTTGTCTCCTGACTAACTGGGGAAGTTCGCTGGAAACATCCACGAGGCGTAAGGCGCCTGAAATACATGGATGGGTCAAAGTATTCGTAGGATTGTCTTGCTTATACTAACCTCCGGCGACCTTAAGCGCTCCGGCGACGACGGCTTCGTTCTCCACTGCGTCTTATATGAGAAAAGGAGGCAAGAATTTTCAATCACAAACCTATGATACCTACAAGGGTTAAATGAGCACGTGGAGTACACGATGCGTCCTCCCACTTTTAGCAACGAACATCCCCGCAGCAAAATAGGTAACTGGACTCTAGTTGCAATGCGTAAGCTTTAGACAAAAATAATATCTAATTTCATATAATTTACCGATGGAGAGCATTGCCGTTGCCCTGCGTCCATGTCTGCCATATTGGCATATTTTTTCGTAGCGTCCCATCACCACTGCAAGGAACATCGGCCAAGATACGATCAAATTGTAGCACGCTTGCATCCAGAGACCCCTACTCAGGCGGTAAGCATTCGTTTCGAAACGGTACATTCTGCGAACTCTATCACCTTAGGTGCGAAGAAGATGTTAGGGAACTGCTGTGCTTCATGATTGGTCACCATCAGACAAGGACTTTGCAGGCGCTTCGCCTGCTTCACAAGCATGTGGCTTCTTGCTTGATCCGCATCATTTGCAATGAGCAACCCATCTAGAAAAGCCGTTGATTTTCAGTCAACTAAGTGATAAGTTGGTAATGTTGCATACCTGGAATAGCTTCAGATTCGTTTGCATGAAGCGCTTCAAGAATCTGAGCAGTTTTACTTCCCGGAGCAGCGCACCTGCGACGAGCGGTCAGGAGACAACGCCAAACGACACTAACAAGAGCTTATTCAACATACATGTCAAGCACCTATTTAGAGCTGAATTCAATTCGAGGTCATATGTGATTCTGGAAGACAAACGCGCTACGGACTTACCGCATGATTTGGCCTGACATCCATGAGTTGAACCGGGATCATACTAACAACCTCCTGCCGATTTATATTGCCCTGCAACACATCATCAGCACCTGGGATGTCTATAATGGATGGATCCTAACTTACAACTTCCGTCTCCGCAACTAGAAATCG